TTCTCCAGCTCATTTTACAGATGAGGAAGCTGAGACCAACAGGGTTAAGTGACTTGCCCAGGGTCACACAGCTAGTAAGGGTGTGAGACCAGATTGAACTTAGGAAAATGAACCTTCTAACTCTAGGCTGGGCACTTTATCCACTGTGCCACCTAGCTGTCCCTATGTAAGTAGTCCTAGGCAAGTCATTTAACCTCTATTTGCCTCAGTTTCCTCAACTATAAAATGGGGATAATAACAGCACCTACCTCAAAGGTTTGTTGTGAAATCAAATGAGATAATCTGTAAAGTGCTTGCTTAGCATAGTGTCTGGCATATAGTAGATGCTATATAAAGGATAATACCTTTTCCCTTCCCTAGCATCCTTTCCAGCTCTAAATCTGTGATCCTATTCTCCCTGCCTATCAAATCCCTACATGTCCTTCCTGCTCCGTGGAGCTTTGATTCCCTCCGCCCCCTCAAACCAGATAGGATTCTGACCTTTGTAGCCGTCTCATGATTCTTAACATATTTTGTTCTATTTATAAACTTATCTCCTCTGCTAGACTATAGGCTATAGAAGTTCCTCAAAGGTAAGGCTCATTTCTTATTTTTTATTCCCCATAGCACCCACCTAGAAGGTATTCTACAAATATTCGTAAAATGAATGAATTTTAATTGAAACTTAATGAAAGCTTCTTACTTTACCCTGTTACTATGGAGCAAACCTTCACTCTAACAGCCTGCTTCTTCTACTTTATCTGATAGTCTGTGCGATATTCTATACCTCTTTTCCACCAGAGCCCTCCTCTGCTTCCTTACCAGCACAAGGAGGCTTCCTTGGTTTCTCACGGGTCACATATGCATGCCACTACAACACAAGCCCTGGCAGATCTTACAAAGCTGGAGAAGCATCTGAGTAGAGGCCTGCCAATGATCAGTATGCCTAACAGAAGAAGGTCAGACTAGCCAAGTTCTCCAGAGAAGTTTGTCCCTGGAAGTCTGGTGCCCAGATCTCTCGGCACACAGCAACCCGCAAAGACCTTTTAAAGTCTTAAAGTCAAAGATTAAGGATGTAGGTGGAGGGAGGGATGAAATCAAAGATGTTCAAAGTATGGAAATTGTAGGAGCAGGGTTTTTTATAATAGTATTTTATTTTTTCCAATTACATGTAAAGATAATTTTTAACATTCATTTTTTATGAAAAAAAATTTTAAGTTCCAAATTTTCTCCCTTTCCTCCCCTCCCAAGAAGATAAGCAATTTGGTATAGGTTATATATGTGTAATCACGTAAAACATATTTCCATATCGTTCATGTTGTGAAAGAAGAAACAGAATACAAGGAAAAAACCATGAAAAAATAAAGTGAAAATTGTATGCTTCTATATACATTCAGACTCCATCAGTTCTTTCTCTGGATATGAATAGCATTTTCCATATGAGTCTTTTGGACTTGTCTTGGATAATTGTGTTGCTGAGAAGAGTTAAGTTATTCATAGTTGATCATCGTACAATGTTGCTGTTACTGTATACAGTGTTCTCCTGGTTCTGTTCACTTCACTTTGCATCACTTCATGTGAGTTTTTCCAGGTTTTTCTGAAATCATCCTGCTCATCATTTCTTATAGCACAATAGTGTTCCTTTACATTCATATACCACAACTTGGTTAGCTATTCCCCAACTGATGGGCATCCCCTCACTTTCCAATTCTTTGCCACCACAAAAAGAGCTGCTATAAATATTTTTGTACTTGTAGGTCCTTTTCTTTATTTATGATCTCTTTGGGATAGAGACCTATTAATATTATTGCTGGATCAAAGAGTAGGCACAGTTTGATTGTCCTTTGGGCGTAGTTCCAAATTGAGAAGCAGGGATTTTTAGCTGGGGGCTGTAAACTTGTTTTTATAATATTTTGATAATGTTTTTGGTTTCCTTTGTAATCCCATGTGTTTTGTTCTATGAATTCAAAAATATGTACTGAGGAGTTCTTAGGTTTCACCAGATAGTCAAATGAGACAAAAAAATTAAAGAACTCCTCAGTAGAAGGGAATACATTTCAAAAATTTCAAGTATAATTTAAAAATTAAGTGATATGTTTTGCACATTCCCTCCATCTGATGGATCTCACATTCCTTATAAACTATGCCAGTCAAGAACAAACCCCAAGAGCTGAAAAGGTTTTTAGAAAGAACTTTATTAAGTCAGTTCAGCAAAGGAAAGAGCCAGAAAAAGGTGCGGATCCCTCTGTTAGTTTCTGAAATTACATTATATAGAGTTTAAACAGGGGTACCAGAACAAGAACTAGTGCACATAGGCAGTTTGCTTAAGATATATATTGTATAAGTGTATGTATAAGTGTCAACATTCAATAAAATTGGTCAAAGCCAAACACAAGCTAGTGGGGAACCCAAAACACAAGCTTTAGGTGGACCCAAATTAAGACATGGGTAAGCAGACCTAAAACACAAATATTTTTGGTAGAGCCAAGCATTAGGTTAGCCTGACCTCCATGGTAAGCATTGGGTTAGACAATTTCTAGTCACAAAAAGCTAGGTTCAAACAATGTTAATAAATAATCGTTTCCTTCACAACTATTTGCAGGAAAAGCAAAATCCTTCTCCCAGATTAATGGGGCCCCAAGAAACCTGCAGACTCTCTCATTTCTGATCTCAGGCACTGTTTGAATAAACCAGCAGTGTGAGAATGAGACAATCCACCTAACTCCCAGTCCTTCATTGTTATCTAAAAATGTCCAGCAGGATTCCATTCTCTCTCCCCCTCCCTTTCTCCACTCCAAGGGAAAGTGACTGAGTGATACCCAAAACTTAGATTAGCTAATCAAAGACATAGAATTTCTCCTGCTCTGGTGAGTATTTAAGATTTTCCCCTAAGCTACACTGAAAAAAAAAAACAAGGACCTTGCTGGTATTGGGTGATCCAACCAATCTAAGTTATCAAAGAACTGATTGATCATTTGGATGCCTTTAATCTTCTCCCTTTCTACTACCCCATCCCCCAGTTTTCATCTGGAAACTTCATGGTCCTTTGAGCTTGATCATGTGCCTTCCATCTTGGATCATCTGTTTAATATGGGCAATGGCTCAGACTTGGTTGCTTTCCATTTTCCTGAAGTCTCTGATCTTTGAACTCCAGTTATTCTCAAATGCCTTTGGCCTTCCAGAAAACAAAATATATCTATGTGTGTTTATGCCTTACTTTGGTACTTTCTCAGATAGAAATGCTAGGGCTGAAAGAAGATGTTAAAAATCATCTTGTCTCACCTCATTTTATAAATGAGGAAATTGAGTCCCGAAGAATGAGACTTTCCCAATGTCACTCAGATAGGAAATGACAAAGCTAAGATTCTAACCAGGTTGTCTGACTCTATGCTCTTTCTACTAAACCAGGCTTCCTTTGGAATAATAGTAATGGATATTAATGTCACTTTTCTTACCACAACCTTGTGAAGTTATAGGGCAGTATACAGGCAATATAGGCATTTTCATCCCTATTTTAGAGGTGAAGAAACTGAGGCAGAGAGATTAAGTGACTTACGCAAGGTCAGTAAGAGAAGAACTAGGACTTCAATTCAGGTTGTTCTATTCAAGTCCTGTGGTTTTTCCAGAATATAATATACTTCCTTTTACATCAGCTTATTATGTGTTAGGGCTTGAGATAGAGAAATTTATCTCCTGTGGCATTCCCCACTGCATCCCACCCTACCAATCCTTTCCCCCAACTTTGGTCTGAGTAGAGACCTCCCTAGTATGGAAACCCCCTCCGTTTATGCAAATCAGGAAGTTATAGTTACCTGGGGAAAACTCAAAGATTAAGTCACTTGCTAAGCCACAGAGCTAATATGCGTTAGAGGTGACTCCTGACTCTGGGCAGTCTCCTATCCACTATGGCATTATGGCACAGGGTGCACGTTAGGATTTAAAGTTTTGTTTTTAATACTCACACGAACCCTGATCTGTCAGATGCACAGTACCTACCTTCGCAGCTTATTCTTAGATCATCATTTCTTAGCTTATGTATGGTTCCAGGAACCCTATAGCCAGGTAGACATTTCAGTAGTGAAAATGGAAACTGAGGGTAACATCATGGCCCTTGTACTAAAAAATCACGGCAAAGTATCCAACAGAAGTCCCCAAAATGAGATTGGTCAGGATGAGAGCTTCATTGTGAGAACTCTCATATTATGGACATTCTTTACAATTTATGTAGTGCAGACATTTTTCTTATGGAGGGGCAGCTCAGGAGAGTTATAATTGCTGCAGCTGAAGGGAGAGAAGAAGGGTGCTTTGTATCTAAATTACATCAGGAAATGCTGGAGGTTGGGGCACAGGTCCAGTGGGATGCTCAGAACATTGAAGACAAACTTTGACTATGCCGTAATTTTGTCTTGGGCCACTGGGGACACTGAAGACAAGCTTTGACCATGCCATGATTTTGGCTAGGACAACCCTGGCAAATGCTTAGCCTAAGGGGCACAGGTGTTTTGTGGGTACTCTGTGGCACATACAGATTATGTGACCTGGTGCAGATCACCTATCCTGTCATGGCTCCAAACAGCTCTCTAAGCTGACCTAATTGTAAAAGTGTTGCTGATTTTCCTTGACAGAGGGAGTTCTCTACCTAATGAAGTTACAGGTGTAGAAAAAATAATAACAACCGCTGACATTTCAATAGCCCTTTAAGCTTTGCAAAGCATTTTACATTCATTAGCTTATTTGATCTGCATAATAACATTATAAAGTATGTGTCATTGTTATCATTATTGCATAGCACTTTAAGGTTTACAAAACTTTTCCCTAACAACCTCATGGTACAAAAATAATTATCCCCATTTTATAAGAATAAATTGTATCTTAGGGAGCTTGGGACTTGTAAGTAATTGAGCCTCCCATTTCACTAACACTTATTTACTGCAATCAATATCCTGTTACGATGTGTCTCCCCCATTTCTGTCCCCATTTATTTACTTAATTCATTTTTATTGTTATTTCTCGCTAGCTATAGGACCAGGATGTACTGCTGCACTCCAAAACAGTTTCTTTCATGCATCCTACATTCCATCTATTCTACTTCAACCCCAGCCTGGATCACGATTTTGTCTTCAACCTTCAAGGAAGCTTGATGGAATTCTGTCCTTCTCAGTGGGTTAGTATTTGGCTTTTCTTAACAAATTGCATAGTGTCCTTCCTATTCTGACCTTCCCTGGACTTTCTTAGGTGAGAGGGGGTGATTTTAAGAGGCATTCAAGTTAAACCCATAAATGTTACTCCTTCCCTGTGAATATTTGGCAGCATACCATGAGAGCTCAGTAATTTGTCAAAACCTTCAGTGCCAGACAGCTCTATTTCTTCCAAAGCAAAACTAAGCAAATCCAGCTACCATGGGCCAAATTTAATCTTCTGACGGGCATAAATTGCCTAAGGAGAATTCATTTGACCATAGGCCCAAGCAATCTATCAATCAATAAATGTATATTGAGTGACCACTCTAAGTGTGATAGTTTGCTAAATACTTGATGGGGGGTGGAGAATGGAACAGAAATGAAGAAGACATGGCCTCCAACTTGTTCAGTCGCGTTCAATTCTTTGTGACCCACTTGATCTGCACAATAGCATTATAAGATAGGAAGCAGGATACAGATGTTGGAAAAGTTAGTTGGGCAAATCAGTAATAATAAAACAAATGCAAATTAAACCAATTCTGAGATTTAATTTCCCACCTGCAAAGATGTTAAAAGATGGAAATAGTCAGTGTTTGATGGGCCATGTGAAGACACACTTCAGGAATGGAAATTCATCTAAGCCTTCTGAAAAACAATATGGAATTAAATAAGAAAGTTACTAAACTGTTCTTAGCCTTTTACTTAGTGATCACAGTTATAGGGCATTTATCCCAAAGATGTCAAAGGAAGAAAGACACCATGTATGCTAAAATATTTATAGCAGCAATTTTATGTTAGCAGAAGATCTAGAATTAAAGTGGGTACCCATTAAATGGGGAATACTGCAGCATATGAATGTGATGGAATATTCTTGTGCCATAAGAAAGGCATAATAGATGCACAAGGCACAAAATAAACAAGGATGAAGAATTCAGGGGAATCTGGGTAGATCTGAACAGATGCAGACTTAAAGCAGAACTAGAATAACAATATACACAAGGGCTACAATAATGTAGATGAAAACAAAAGTAAAAAACAACTGAAATCAGATCAAATGAAATGACGAATCTTTGTTCTGGGCAGCTAGGCATCACAGTGAATGTAGCGCCAGGCCTGGAGTCAGGAAGATGTGAGTTCAAATCCAGCCTCAGACACTTACTAGCTGTGTGACCCTAGGCAAGTCACTTAACCTTGTTTGCCTAGGTTTCCTCATCTGTAAAATGAGCCAGAGAAGGAAATAGCAAACCACTCCAATATCTTTGCCAAGAAAAATCCCAAATGGGTCATGAACACAACTGAACAACAACAAAAATCTTTGTTCCAGAAGACAAATGATGAGACATACTTCCCTCTTCTTGATGTAAAAGTGGAGGACTACAGTTACATAATGTTGCATATACTGTCAGATGTGCTTACTATATTAATTGGCTTTGCTAACCTGCTTTTCTTTATTACAAAGGAGGATGGGACAGGGTGGGGATTGTAAAGTTACTATGACATAAAAAAATCACTAACATATTAAAAAAAGAAAGTTGAAGGAAAAGATACGTGTTCGTGAAAAGTTCAGTGCAATTCAGTCATGTCCAAGTAATTCAGCATTTAAGTGTGTACATTTGAATGGTGCCACCCTTCTTTTTGATGAGTCCCTGTCCCTCCCCCCAACCAAACTTTATCATCCCTGCAACCACTATTGTTGAATTATCCTTACATGGATGATCCTTAGCCCCTAACTGCTACCATTTAAGCTGCTGGGAATCCCAGGAGCCTTTGCTATTCCTTGACTTTTCTTCTTTCTGTCCCCATGTTGTACTTGGGATTACATACCCCCATTGCTAAAGGAAAGAGAGAGCTGTTCCTGGCATCTTTAACTGAAACTTAGAATATGTCGTTTCCATACGAGAATAATATCACAATAGTGATTAGCTTCTATAACAATACCAAACAGTATTGATCCAGTTAATCAGGTTCCTTCTGTGTTTGGGAAAAGGAACTCATGGGCGCACTCACCTCAAAGGCTGAATCGTTTAATGGAGATAGTAGAGGAAGGATACACAGGTATACATTCAACTCACCAATAGCCGTGTAGCCACCCCTGGGTACCAGGATCCCTGACTCAAAGGTTCGTAGAAGGCTTGTCCAATTGGAAGGATGCTTTATGATTCAGGCCAAAGTTCAGTTGTCCAATTCCCCTTTGTTACTATCCTTACTACGCTTATTACAGTCTCACTAGAGGAATATATCCGTAAATGTAGCATCAGCTGTTCTGGATCACATGTCATAGTAGTAATTGGTCAATCTGCGAGGTGCCCTCTTTATCAAGCTGCCTGCTTCTATGCCCATCCCTTATTAGGTCTGGCTCTGGCATAAGTTGTAACCTCTAAGCCAATGGTAAGAGGGAAGGTGCTACTCCCTTTGTTCTTGATGGCCAGATGGTTACATACATAAATCAACAAATCTTACTTTTGCCAAACAAAATAGATACAAGTACTACCTAAGACAGAGAAGCAATGCGTATCACGCCATTCTTCTCCCAAACAGTAATTCATTGGCCACTTCTTGGCCAGGCCTGGGTACCAATAAATCTGCTCTTAGCCTCAGTGCATAACTTATCTTTCTTGAGACAGCCTTCAAATTTTAAGACACGCTGTACAGATCACTGCATATATTTCACTTACTTCAAGGATCTCTGATTTCATCAGTGTGAGCACTCCCTCCAGCACAGATTTGCAATGTCCTTCCTCTCCCACACCGTAGCAGATGGTTTAATAGGTTGCTATAACTGAAAAAGTCATCACCTGGGGACCAACTGGCCAGCCTTCTTTTGGTGATAAGCTTTTTCAGATACATTAGGCTACCCTTCATAAAACAGAGTCTTCTGCTGGGTCTGTACTTGAAGCCTTTCCAAGCTGATTTGTTCTGGAAAGAACCCAGAGTTATCTCCCTGCATGGTGAGGCGTCAGAATTGGTTTAAAACTAAATAGATGGCCATCAATTGAGGAAATGGATAAATAAGCTGTAGTACATGAATGGGATGAAATATTATTACACAGACACTTGCAAGCCAGATTGGGAAACTGATCACCATGTGCAATGTCATTCCTAAGGGGGCAGGGGGCAGCAATGTATTCCAAGGAACACAAAACTGATTGACAAAAGCACTTTGAAAATGCAACTTCTTCACAAGTTAGGGGCTTCTTTCGGATGATGTGCCAAGTAAGTGATTCAGATAAAATACTGGATGGTTTGAGTTTCTATGAACTCAGGTAGTCAGGGAAGGTTTCATATAGGAACTGGAAGCTTTAGCTTAGTGTTAATATCAATCAATAAATCACAAGGTATTTATTTAGCACCTCCTAGGTGCCAAGCTCTGTGGTAGGTACCAGGGATACAAATATAAGAATGAAACCTTACCCTCAAGGTGCTTGTATTTGGACAATTCTAGCATTAGAAGAAGGAGGAGGAGGAGGAGCGCTCTTGCTTTATAGCATTTTGTGGCATACGAAATCACTTTCTATCAAGAAAAAACTCCAATAGCTCCCTATTACTTTTAAGATGAAATACAAATTCATTTGTTTGGCTTTTAAAGTCTTGCATGAAGAGTCACAGACAAGCAGGGTAATTTTGTTACTGTAATGTTTAATGTATACCTTAAAAAACTATGTAATAGGAGTACAATTTCCCATACAATCTTTTTCTATTCTTCTTTGCATAACTCACTTTTTGGAGCTCCATCAAAAGAACAAGGTGAAACAGGGGCAGGGCTGACCACTTGGTGTAGCCGATTTTCCTTTCCTCTGTGTTCTCTAACCTCTACATGGATTTTAGACTTCACCTAAAGGCAAGCGCAGGCCCCTTACCTTAAAAAGGGGCTGATGGGAAGAGGCAGAAACTAATCTGAGCAAGAACAACAGAGATAAGAGGCTTTGTCTTTGATGGCCAGATGAGGAAAGACAGAAGTTGGAGGCAGGAGAGCTTTCCAGCCAGGTGACAACATTCCAGAGATAGCCAGTGTCTATCAGAGTTGTAGGAATAAGGTTACTGGTGAGACAGCCTTTGAGACTTCCCACTTGGAGACAGCAAGCAATCTGATATAGGTTATACCTGTGTGATCATGTTAAACATATTTCCACATTAGTCATGTTGTAAAAGAAGAAACAGAACAAAAGGGAAAACCCACAAACCGCCACAACAATAACAAAAAGAGAAAATAGCATGCTTTGATCTGCATGCAGACTCCATAGTTCTTTCTCTGGGTGTGGACAGCATTTTCCATCATGAGTCATTTGGAACTGTCTTGGATTGTTACATTGTTGAGAAGAGCTAAGTCTATCAGTTTATCACGCAATGTTGCTGTCATTGTGTACAGTGTTCTCCTGGTTCTGCTCACTCCACTTAGCATCAGTTCATGTAAATTTAAGAATTCTGATTGATGCAGTGTTCAACCGCAGTACCAGAGCGAAGTATGCCACCTACCTCCTGATATAGAGATAAGGTAGAAGAGATGCAGGTAGATATAGAGGAGATTCAAGTTGCAGAGTAAGATATAAATTTGGGGACATTGACAATGGAGGAATTTGCTTGCTGTCTTGGGGAGGGGGGGAAGAGAGAGGGAAGAAGAAAAAATTGGAACTCAACATTTTATTAAAAATAATGTTGAAAACTATCTTTGCATGTAATTAGAAAAAATAAAATGCTATTTACAAAAAAAAGAATTCTTAAGTCTTTCAAAGTTGTTTGTCTTAATGGTGTTATTATAGAAATTATTTTTCTCTTTCTGTTTGCTTCATTCTGCACCTCATCATATGAGTCTTCCTAGGTTTATCTAAAGTCATTCCTTTCACCATTTCTAATCTCACTTTTCACCATAATAATATTCCATTACATTCATATACCATAATTTATTCAGTCATTTCCTAATAGATGGGTACCTGCTTAGTTATCAGTTCTATGCCACTAAAAACAGAGCTTCCATAATATATTTGTACATGGACCACCTTTTCCTCATTCTTTTATCCCTTTGACCTAGTAATGGTATTGCTGTTTCAAAGGCTGTACATAGTTTAGTGACTTCTGGTGCACATTTCAACTTCTTTCTAGAAGAGTTATATGAATTCATAGTTCCACCAAAAGTGGCTTAAATTAACATGTTTTTTACACAGCCCCTCCAGCTATTGTTATTTTCCTTTTCTTTTTTTATCATCTGTGACAATTTAGTATGGGGTGGGGAACAGGCCACAGGTGGCCTTCTAGGTCCTTAAGTGCAGCCCTTTGATGGAATCTAGACAACTGTTCAGTGAAAGGACTGCATTTGAGGACTTAGAGGGCCACCTGTAGCCTCGAGGCTGCAGGTTCCCCACCCCTAATTTAGCCTATTAGTTGCTACTACATTTTAAATGCTGCTATAGGGTGCCAGGGATAGAGTATTAGGAATCAGGAAGGCCTGAGTTCAAATTTGGCCTCACACTAGCTGTGTGAGTCTGAGAAAAATCATTTAGCCAGGACTTTAGTTTTCTTATCTGTAAAATGAAGATAAGACTAGTTACTGCCTCCAAAAGTTATCATAAGGATAAAATGAGATAATATTTGTAAACTGCTTTGCAAATCTTAAAGCACTATATAAATACTAGCATTATTATGAACATCTCTCTTCCTTCTGCTGCTCTTAGCTCAGAAAGCCACAAGCCTTAGTTTGTAGTAGTCAGAGAAGAAGTTATTGACTGTTCATTGTATATTGAATGTTGTACTAGTTAGTATGGAGGTTGTAGAGAGAGAGGAAAAAATAGATGTCACTATCTAATCCCATGGGAAATTTATAGTTTAATTAGGAAGATACAAATTACTTTTCAGAGACTGTTGAATGTTCCCCTCAGTCTGGTTGGTGGTTGTGGTCATGGTAGTATTAGGATGGGTTGGTATTAGGACAATATTCTGAATGATTTATTCTTTGCCCTTGAAGTAATTTATTTTCTATAATTGTTTCATCTACCTAGGGGTGCAAGCCAGTTGTAGTGGTGTTGGGGTGCCCTTGGAGGGGTTATGTAGAATTGGGGTAGGCTGAGTGCCCCATGCCTATGTTCCAATCATGAATGAGAACCTGGAAATGTTGTTGGAGCTAATGTCAGTGTGATAATCTCTGAGCACGTAAGCTCTTTTTTAGTTTGGTCCAGTTCTGTGATTTCACTGATCTAGGGGACTCCTGCCAAGTAAACTCTATCTGCCAATAGAGATTGAAAACTTTTCCATACCTTTTAGTCTTATTGGGTTGTCTGGGACACTGGGAAGTTAAGTGACTTGCTCAGGATCACACAGCCTGTATGTATCATGTGCATCCATGGCACTGGAACTTAGGTCTTCTGCTTCAAAGGCCAGTTCTCTATCACTACACCATACGGATCCTAACACATAATGGGAATTCTGAATTTCTAGCCTTCCCAGACCATAGGTCCAGACTGTATCTGTGTTCCAAAGTACTTCTGTGTCCCTCAAAAAAAAAAAATGAAGATGGTGCCATTGAGTTTACCAGTTGGTCAGAGTCAGGAAAAAAAGAGATTTGACATGTGTATAATGCTTTTAAGGCTGCAAAATACCTTACGTATATTTGATTCTCACACAAATCTGGTGAGGTAGGAACTACAGGCATGATTATTACCATTTTCCAAATAAGTCTCAAAGATGTCAAGCATAGTAAGCGTCAGAGGTAGGCTTCAAACAAGTATTCATGACTCTAAATCCAGAATTCTTTCCATTTCATGCCGTTGCATCCTTAACATTATCCTCTCCAACACTCATATTTTTCATCTCACAGTGAGAACTGCTGCTGGGGCTCCCTTTTGGCTCTGGCCAGGTTCAGTCCTAGGGAGAACTTGGCCTTTAACGAAGAGAGTTAAGCTCCCTGTCCTTATATTCTTTGGCCTGTTAAACCTCCACCTCCCCACCCTGGGGATGATTTACTTAAAACTTAGGTGCTGGATCATGTCTAGGGCCTCCCCCGAAAGGGAGTAATAGAAAGTTGCCCAAAGTGGAAGATGAACCAGGTATGGGACAGTTATTTATTTCCTACACACAAAAGAAATGCTAAACACAGAATATTCACAAGTGTGCACTTGACAGAAGTAAACTTAAACAAGTGGCAGCAATTATTTCTATAACACTCTCTTAGGAAGTTGCTGCTTAAACTTTATCTAAACATAAGGCATTTTGCAGGACTACTGAGTAGGCAGTTTACATTTCATCCTGGAGAATCAACTTACACGAAGTCACACAACTGGTTGGTGGCAGAGCCAGGACTAGAATCCAGATCGTAGCCTGCTCCAAACACAACTAGAAAGTGTTTGGTGCTTGGGCCAAACCTGAGTCATCCTGGCTCTAAGTTCAGAATTCTTTCCACTTATACTCCTGATCTCTGCATGGCATCAGTCAACAAATCAACAATCTTTCATTAAACAACTATCATATGCTAAGCACTGGAGGGTACAAACACAAAAGAGAAAGAGTCCTCACCCTCAAGCAGCTTACAGTCTACTTTGGTAAATAAGTAAATAAATGAATGAATAAGACATCACTATAGTGTTCTTCAGTCATTTTTCAGTTGTGTCCAACTCTTTGTGACCTCATTTGGGGTTTTCTTGGCAAAGATACTGGAGTGGCTTGCCATTTCCTTCTCCAGCTCATTTTACAGATGAGCAGACTGAGGCAAACAGGGTTAAGTGACTTGCCCAAGGTCACACATCTGGTAAGTATTTAATGCCAGAGTTGAACTCAGAAAGATGAGTCTTCCTGACTCCAGGCCCAGCACTTTGTCCACTGTGCTATATAGCTGCCAAGTACCTGTCCTACTTAGGACCAAATCCTAGGTCTGCTATTTACAATGTGACTTTGGGCAAATCCCTTGCCCCATATAGATTTTACTTCCTCACCCATAAATAATAAGAGGAGGTAGACTAGATGTTTTCTAAAATCTCTTTCACACTAATGTTAAAAAAGCAATTTACATGTAATGGGGGGGGAATGTTTTTTTAAAAAAATCTCCTCATTTCCTAACCTTTCCCAACCAAGGAGAAAATCTTTCCTAACCAAACCTTTCCTAACAGGAGAAAAAAAGTAGTGAATGTATTATTCTGAAATACAAAGGAGAGTAAATGAGTATCATATGAGACAATGCAAGTGAAAGGACTTCATAAAATATAAAGCACTATAAAATTATAAGGTGCGATTGTTTTTATTATCATTATCTTTGCAGGAAAGAAAGAAATGCCTATTATTTTTTCCTTGTGATTGGCCATCCAGACCAAAGCTTTCAGCCTTGAATAACCTTCTGAAGTAAGTAAGTTTGATTGTATGTTCCCCAAAGGACATTTTATTGGCTTAGCCCACAAGAGGATTTTTTAAAAAACCCAAAACTTATGTGGTAACAGCAGCAGTCACTTAAGATAAACCATCTCAATATGTAAGGAATCAATAGAAGGTGAAGTGTTCTCTGAGGAAATGGAGGCGAAAAGCCTTTGAAAAAATTGTAAGTGTTATACCAGTGAAAGGTCTCATTTAGTAAACATATGCATTTCTTCATCTAGATAAAGGTCTCCAGCCTTTGGAACTGAGTGGTCTGAGGAGGTAAAAATACTTATTCAAACATTAAATGTTCAGGTCCAGTACCAACAAAGCAGCTTAGAAACAGCATATTTTAATTTTTATGGAACTATATCTCAAGTTTGTCTCTGCCTTCATAGAGGGTTGGGTTGTTTTTTTTTAATGTCTCTGAAAATATCTATGGCCTAAGCAAGCATTGAGGAAGACCAATTATGTTGTTAGCCTCACAGAACAGAAGATGAAATAATGAGTCAGGGAACAAGATAGTTATATTTATTTTTTTCTAAACTGCATAGCCTACATGGTGGATCAAAAGCTTATTACAAATTTTTTTTTTTAAAGATCAGGTAATTCAGGATAATGATAATGCCATTTTCACTAATCATTCTCATGATTGTGTGCTTGCTAAAGCCTCTTCATTGAAAGCTGGGATGGCATAGGTTCTGATGGTAATAACAGTGGTTGAGCATTCAATTCAGCCTTTTGCAGCTGCCAAAAAACCCCAAAAATCCCCAGCCTGGTTAGAAAGGTCCTTTCTACAGTTCAGTCGGGCCAGCAACCCTTTCACTAAAATGGGCCAAAATATACATTGAACACCTAGTCTTGCCTTGTTGCGGAAATTGTGTTTGATCAAATAATTAGGGAGTCAAAAGAAAAAAAATAGGACTTTTAATCAAGATAAAAGAAGCGTTAGCAATGCCAAATGAAGCAATAAATTCATTCTAGTAGCAGTATGGCACACAATGTGTCAGTATGAAGTCAAGTATCAACCTTTGTTAGAATTGATGGCCTCTAATCCAATAAGGGAGAGTTCTGATAGAAGGAATCATTTTTGAGAAGAGACATAGAGAGCAATTGTTTGAATGTAATTTGCCTGTCTTCCACTAAAAATCTTCCATGAATGCCTTATGGTGGCATGGAGGCCAGCCTGGGCTCTTGAAGGCTATACTCATATAGCATGAATCCTGTCGGTTGCTACCAAGCTAGAAAGGGTTAGAGTACGGAAGCAATGATAGACACTATGTCTGTCTTCTGAGAACCAGCCTAGTTAAGTTTGGAGAACTACATAAGAAGCTTAGCCAACACGTAACATTTGGTTTTGTCACAGGATCTGATGAAGATGTCTACTTTAGCAGTGAAATCTAATCTGGCTTCACAAGTATACAAATTAAAACCTACTGTTATTTTTACACACCAAATAATCATCTTGGAATAAATAGTGAAAATGGTGCAACATGATTTCAAATAATGTCAGGTTTGGCTTCTGTATTCTCTGCTGCGGTAATTTCTCAGAGAATGTTGTTAAAAAGGGGTATAGGAAGGAAATAAGCATCTATCAAGCACCTACTTTTATTTATTAAGCCCCTACAATGCACCCCCCTAGATGGCTTAGTGGATTGAGCACTAGGCATGGTGTTAGGAAGACCTGAGGTCAGATATGGCCTCAGACACCAGCTGCGTGACCCTGGGCAAGTCACTTAACCTCTGTTTGCCTTAATCCACTGGAGAAGGAAATGGCAAACTACTCTAGAATCTTTGCCAAGAAAATCCCATGGACAGTATGGTCCCCAAGGTCATGAAGGTCGATGGATGCGACTGAATTATTAACAACATTCTCTGAGTCTGTGAGCCTATGTCCAAGACAAAATTCATTGTCTTCCCCAAATCCACCCCCCTTCCTAACTTCCCTATTTTTGTTGAAGGTGCCACCATCCTTCTGGTTACCCAGTCCACAAGCTCCAAGTCATCTTCAAATCTTTACTTTCTCTCACCTTCCAGATGTAAGCAGTTGAAAAGTCTTGTCATTACTATCAACACAATATTTCTCATATCCACGTCCTTCTCTCCATTCATCTGACTACCACCTTAGCTCTGACCCTCATCAGCTCTGGTCTGGACTATTATAATAGCCTCCTAATTAGTGTCTCTACTCAGGTCTCTGACTCTTTCCTAATCAGGCCTCCACACAATTGCTAAATGGATACATGGGTCACTACTCTGCTTAAGAAAGTTCAGTACTTCCCTATTGCCTCTGGGATAAAATACAAACTATTCTGTTTAGAAAGTATAACTATTCACAATCTGGCTTCAACCTATTCTTCCTGACTGATTGCACCTTACTTCCCTCACCTGTAGTAAGTTGAAATCAAATTAGATTCTCTAGTGTAAGGGGAGGGGATCTATTGAGTAAATCAATCAAGTCACTCCACCCATTTAAAGTGTTGGAAAGGGGCAGCTAGGTGGCACAGTAGATAGAGTATTGGCTCTGGAGTCAGGAGGACCTGAGTTCAAATCTAGCTTCAGATATATGATATCACTAGCTGTGTGACCATGGACAAGTCACTTAACCCTGATTGCCTCACCAAAAATAAAGTTTTTTTGGGGGGGAAAGCTGGTACCTTAACTTAACCGGAAAGAACATATTTAATCAACCTAAGACTTTAGATTAACAGCAGACAAACAAAGAACCTTAGATAAACTGGACTTAGAAAGTGTTTGGATCGGCTGAAAAAACTTTGACATGTCTTGTAGGTTTGTCTGTAAAACAGAAGAGTTCAAAACCCAATTTATTCTGTTATCTCAAAGACAAGAAAATGGAGTGTAAGCCAAGAGAGAGCTTTTTAACAGAGCCTCTGAGGAGTAAGTGCTTAAGGATGGAAAAGAAAACACCTTGGTGTTTTTTTTTCCTTTCTCTCTTTTCCCCCTTCCCTCCTTTTTCTCCTTTCCCCTTTCCCTCATCACTTCCATTACACATCTACATTGGGAGCAGCAGTTTGGGAAGGCAGATTCACATCTCCGTGAGGACCCCAGCAAAGCTAAGCCCCTACGGAGACCTTCATGAGCACTTCACCAAAGGGAGAAAAGAACTTCCAAGAACCAGGAACTAAGATTTACCCCTTTGCCATATTTGATCCCTCTTTGCCCTGGCTGCTGAATTACTGCTGTGTGTCACATATTATTTGAGGGGTTGGTGGGGGGAGGATGTTTGTTCTGACTATTCTTATTGTACCAACTTAGTAGATATCTCTTTTGAAAAGCTAATTGAGGGGCAGCTAGGTGGCACAGTGGGTAGAGCCCTGAAGTCAGGAGGACTTGGGTTCAAATCCGGCATCAGACCACACACTTGACACTTACTAGCTGTGTGACCCTGGGCAAGTCACTTAACTCCAATTGCCTTAAAAAAAAGAAAGAAAAAAAAGCTAACTGACTGGCTAATTGATAATCAATGAATAATCATGGTGGGAAATATACTGGTGTGGACTAGTAAGCTATAGCACTAGAAAAGACATCCCCCCAACCCTCCAGGGTTGCCCCTAGAGCCCTGAGAGAACATAGTACCCCACCTCTGGGGACCCAATCTACTAAGTTGGGATAGTAGCTCCAGACCCTTCTTACATTGCTCCTTATATACCATACCATGTTCTATCTCCATGTCTTTGCATAGGAAAGTCCCCTATGATAGAAGGGTCTTCTGCCTCAGCCCAGCTTCTTGGAGTTCCGATTACCTTTTGATACATAGGTCAGGTTCCATTTCCTATACCAGGGCCTTTCCTAGCTCCCTTAGCTGTTAATTACCCTGTCTCATCTCAAAATTTCTTCCAATTTACTTATCTGTATACAGGGCAGTTTCTACTACATACTGGTTAAGGCCATGGATTTCACTTTTGTTTCTTTATCTTTAGCACCTATCGCAGTGCCTGACACATAGTAGGGGCTTGATAAATGTTTGTTGAATTGAATTGAATCCCCATCTGGTAAAGATCTGCTGACCTGATATGGAGAGAAAACTCAGTTTGATAGTCAGAGAAGGCATCTCTAAGCCTAGCCAGTCATCTGGTCCATCTATGCTATTCTTTAAAAGGGGAATGAACTAGACAGAGTGCCTTAGCGTGGCCCTAAACACACATACACACACACACACACACACACACACACACACACAACTTTAAAGAACTCAACTCAATCTACATTTTTGAAAAAGTACCAACTATGTGAAAGGCACTGGAAACATAAGGTGAAATCCCTGACCTCAAAAGTCTTGCATTTTAATAATGGTTCATCTTTCTATGGTGCTAAGATTTGTGCTTTCCTCATAACCACTCTCTGAAGTAGAAAATACAAGTATTATTTGCAAAAGAGGCCCGTGATCATAAGAATCATAGGTAGGATGTACCCCCAAACCTCTTGACACTAGATCTAGAATTCTGTTCACTTATACCACACTGCCTTGGCTATACTGTTACTCAGAATGTATGTCCTTTGCCATGGCGTTAAGGAAGAAGTGCTCAGCTTAGAGCAAAAATACTCAGGCTCTACTCTTATCTCTTCCATTTATTAGCTGTGTGATCTTGGGCAAATTATCTCTCCCCTTTTTTGTTGTTGCTCAGTAGTGTCCGACTCTTTTGTGACCCGATTTGGGATTTTCTTGGCAAAGATGCTGGAGTGGTTTGCCACTTCCTTCTCCAGCTCACTTTACAGATGAGGAAACTGAGGCAAACAGAGTTAAGTGACTTTGCCCGGGTCACACAGCTAATGAGGCCAGATTTGAACTCAGGAAGATGAGTTTTCCTAACTTCAGGCCCAACACTCTATGCACTATGGCACCACCTAGCTGCCCATATAGGAAGCCATCTAAGTTTTGTGCAGGCCAGAATACAGCTCAAAAGTCAAGGTTTCTGTCCTATATGTCCCTTGTCATCTTTTACAGCCAAACTCCTAGGAAACATTTGTTT